CAGCCCCCCTTGTGTCTTGCAGAAAATGGCAGTGAATGTGTACTCCACCTCGGTGACGAGCGACAACCTGAGCCGGCATGACATGCTCGCGTGGATCAACGAGTCCCTGCAGCTGATGCTCACCAAGATCGAGCAGCTGTGTTCAGGTGAGCGCCCGCCGGCCGCGGGGACCCACGGGGGGCCCGTGCGGCCCCGTCTGCGGGGTCCCCCCACGCCCCGGCCCGTTCTGCAGGCCCGGCTCTGCCCACCCTCCGCAGCAGCTGTTGTTGGCTGAACCGGTGCGCAGTGTCAGGGTAATCTAACACTTGGCACTGTCATTTGCTTGCGGTTTGCGTTTTGTGTGAGTTATTTTCAGCATTTTAGGCATAATGGAAAGGTGTGGTGTTTTTGTGGCACTGCAGTATAAAAGGGGTGAGAGGGAATGGAGGTTAATGGGCCAAAGGGTTCTAACAGGAGGGTGTTTTCCAAGGGAAGTTGAACGCTCCTCATGGCAATACACAAACCTTCCGCGGTAGCAGCTGGTGTCAGTGGCCTCATGGAAGGGAGAGACTTCCTGGGAGCTCTGGGCGGTGCCAGCAGATTCGGATGGGGCACAAAGGGAGACACGAGGAAGACCCGCAGTCACCTTCCGCTCCYGAGGACAGAGGAGCGTCTCCCTCTGTGTCACCGCAAGGCATTTGGAGCTGAGCCTAGCGAGGTGAATCTTGCGCAGGCTGGTGAGCGGAAAAGAAGTGAGTAGGGTACAGAAATAACGTCACGTGTCACCTGGAGGAGTGCGTGGAGTCACAGCCGAGATCGAGATGAGGCTAAGAGCACAGCTTGYGTGAAGATGCTGATCACTGCGACGGAGAAGTAGGGGATTCAGTGAAAAGTGAATGTGTGGCACCCATGAGGAGTTAGAGATGAGATGTAGCTCACACAAATGGAGTATGGAAATTGCAGATAGAGGAAAAGGGACAAGAAGTGAAAAATACCCTTGGAACCATCTGTGGCTGAGCCCGTGGAACAAACTTGCACAAGGACACAAGTCAGGAACTTAAGAAAATGCTTCTGTAATTCTGACCGCTACTCATAACAGCTTTTTGCCAAGTGAAACAACAGAGAAAGTCAACAAGGATAAAAGAACTAAAGATCTAGAATCATAAAAGTAAGAGAAATRGTGACCATTATCCCCTTTCAGATAGGTGAGTTTAAAAGCGATTCCTTGGGACTGATGCAAGTCTCAGATGTGTTGGGGTTCTGCCCCTGAGGAGTGAGGACACAGAACTGGCTCTGCATAGTCTCAGCTAACCTGTTTGCAGCAGAAGGCTGAGAGCTTGTGATGTGCTATGTGCTGAATAACGTCCCTCTTCCGAGTCTGCAAAAAGTACTCGGTGCCTCTGCGTGGATGGAAGTGACTTTCTCTTAGTCATAGTCATTTGTAAGCGAGTCTCCAGGCTTCCTTTGCTCCTTATGGTGAGGGGAGTAGCAGCAGTAGTTTGAGGCTGCTTAAATATGTGAAAATGGCTACTGCTGCCCTGTTTTAAAATCGTGAATCTCTGTGATTACTAAACAGTTGGCAAAACCCTGATCTCTGGAAGGCATCCATTTTTGATTTGGCTGTAAGGGATGTTTCTCCTTGCACCTGTGGAGAAGCTGAATTTTTCTGTATAAAACAGGTAAATAGCAGGAGTTCCAGACGGCCTTCAAGTATTCTGGTAGGGAGTGGGGAGCACAGGATTTGCTGCTAGCTGGGGCTGATGTGGGCAGGCTACCCAAGGCCTCTATTGTAATGTATTAATTCTTGGTTATTGGATCTCAAACTCCTGTTATTCTCTGTGTGCACTTGATTTTCTGCTACTTGTGGGGGAAGTGGTGCTCAGAGTCACACTTGCATTTTCAATGGCCTATGATAACATATTATCACAGCCAGCACCCATGTAGTCTTTTTAATGGGCTAAGTATGTTCTACAGAAGCAAATTTTCCATTTTGGGATATGTCAGATTTTTTTTTTTTATGGGTTAGCCAAGTCCTCCTTTTGTTCGGATTGTAGTGAGAGCTGAATTGATGTATATGAGGAATTTATAAGCTGATGTTTCTTGCTATTGATTTTTAGGGCTGAAATCACGAGACCAGAGTTTTGACCCCGTAGTCAGCTGAAGGTTATTCAGGGCCAGGCTGCAGCGCACAGGAAAGGCTCCCACTACCTTGCTTTGCTTCCCTTTCCTTTAAGGGATCATACAGCTGAGGAGTGAGTCAGGTCATCTTGCTCATCTGACTGAAAAGTAATTGCTGTGGGCTTAGTGAGCTGCCTTGATTCGTCCTAGCAGTTGTATTCCCTAGAGCTGACGTGTGCCTGGGGACAGTGGCAGAGCAGGACACGCTCCTTTGCCAGCAGCTTGCAGTTGAGCAGGCCTGTGAGCAGCGGGGTGGCAGCTGAGCCGCTGTTCCCTATTGCAGTAAATGGTGTGCCAGGAAAACTTGCTCGTGTTGTCCTTGCGGATGAGATGACCTGTGTTGTCCTTGCGGATGAGATGACCTGTGTTGTCCTTGCGGATGAGATGACCTGTGTTGTCCTTGCGGATGAGATGACCTGGGCACTTTTTCTTTTGGCAGGTGCTGCCTACTGTCAGTTCATGGACATGCTCTTCCCAGGTTCTGTAGCACTCAAGAAAGTGAAGTTTCAAGCAAAGCTGGAGCATGAGTACATCCAAAACTTCAAGATTCTACAAGCAGGTTTTAAACGAATGGGTGTTGACAAAGTAAGCTGGCTTATAACTGATTCTTCTTGCTCTTAACATCAAAGTAGATGGAATGTGTTATCAGCACTTCCATCTCCAGACCTGAATAAATCTTGGAGCAYGGCTTGTTTCTGGTTTGCATTAAGGTTCTTGCTCTTGTTGGCTTGGGACAGTATCTTTTTACTCCTGCTAAGGTTAGGCTTCCAGTTCTTACATGGAATTAAAATGGAAAAAGTAATCTTATTAAGATACAGATTAATGCAGAAAATAATTTGAGATAAATTGTCCTCAAGCCTTGTATTTCAACCAACTTTGTCCCAGGTATGATCCCGTAACCTGTTGGTATGGTCGTCTTAATGACTTCAAGTTCTTCTTTACAAGATTATATTATTTTAAGATGATGAAAATGAGATCTCTGCAAATACTTGTTCAGGTTAAATAATTACATTCGTGGAAGAGTGATTTATCTAGGTAATAGTTTCTGGCAGCCTATTTGATCAACATGAGGCAGCTTGGTGTTAAAACACAGTTCTACATTTTTTGGAAGGTAGCTCATTTTGCGGCTGCTGATAGCACACGTTTAGTCAGGCTTCTGCTTGGGGAAGGTGCAGCCAACTTGTGCAGCACGTCCCGGCCTGGACGGCCGGGCCCCTCCGTGGGGAATGGCACTAGTGGGGGTCGCTCTTTGCCCCACCAGACTTTACAGACTGGCAGCTGGTGACCTCCCCACAAGAAGTCTCCATTTGCTGCATCCTCTTAGTAATCTTCTTTTTCAGCATCTCGAGAAGGAAGTGTGTAATTGGAGCCTATAAAAAGGAGACATTTAAATTTTATAGCAGTTCTTTATGTTACTAGTCTATAAAAATTACTCAACAGTTCAGATTTATAAAAAACAGTGCTGGATGAGTTGGTTTGGAAAGTACGGGAAGCAGCTGGGTGTTGAAACCTGGTGTAGCAGAAAACATCTTGCAGGACTACTTAAAATTAGTTGGACACTCGCAGTGAAAGCATTACGTGTCTTTTAATTATGATTGTTAGCAAAATCTTGCTATTTGAGGTACACTTATGTTTAAGGATGATTTGCTTTAGAAAAAACAAAGATTTATGTGTCTGAGTGCCCTCTTATACTGTTTATAACTAGAGGGAAAACTTCTTTGCTATTAATACAAGTTTTTACCTTTTTTTCTTTTTGTTTTCAGATAATTCCTGTGGACAAACTAGTGAAAGGAAAATTTCAGGACAACTTTGAATTTGTTCAGTGGTTCAAAAAATTTTTTGATGCAAACTATGATGGGAAGGAGTACGATCCTGTTGCTGCTCGACAAGGCCAGGAGACAGTAGCACCAAACCTCGTTGCTCCTGTTGTGAACAAACCCAAGAAACCACTCAGTTCTGGCAGTGCAGGTAGAGTCAATATTTGAAGGTTACCTAGAAAAACYCTTCTGGAAAGCAAGGCCGAGTCCCTGTTCAAATTCAGTGCATTAAATTCTGGTATTTTGCAGCTTTTTTTTCAGAGGTGCTAGTCTTAATCATTGACCCATATGGTAGTACTTAGTTGTCTCAGAGTTACAGAATGGACARTTTTCTAAATGGAAAAAAATAGCAATAATTGGTGCCAGTGCATGCTGAGGAAAACAGCCATGTTGTGTGGAGTCAGGGAGGARGAATACTCCCTATGGAGGAATTGAAAGATAGTTCCTACATGTCTAAGCCCCTCTGGAAGGGTGAGGGTACCTTTAGAAGCAGCAAAGAAGATGCTGAGGAGCTAATGCTGGTTTAATCTTGCAGCTCCACAGAGACCCATTGTAACGCAGAGAACTGCAGCCACTCCGAAAGGTACCGGAATGGTGAAAAAGGCTCCCGGGGACGACGAGTCGGCAGGACTGATTGAGCAGGTGTGCTGGCTGGAGAGGCCTCTACTCATCTAACGTTAGGGATTTCTGGGGCAGGGGGGCTCTTATGACCTGTAGAGCCAAGTGGCTGGCACAGGGTCATGAGAAAGAGGTCGTAGTGCAGCGAGCTCTGCTCGCCTGAAGACGTTTCACCCCAAACCTGTATTGCAGGGGTGCTGCTGCCCTCGCGGGCATGGAGCTGCTGGAGCAGAGCACTAGCACCGTGCAGCACCGTGYGCCGCAGCCTGTGTGGCACTGCAGCCCRTGCAGCTGCAGCCCGTGCAGCGCCCTGCCAGGGTGTTTCAGCAGCCGTGCGGGCGGCGGCAGCTGCTGCTGCTTGCTGCAGTGCTCGCTGCTGCGCCGGGCTTCCCTCCGGCACGAGGGGGTTCCCTAAAGGAATGTGGTGGCAGGGAAAGCTGCGAGCTGTTGCCTTCCTACCTGTGTCGTGTAATAAGGTGGTAGACTTCTCAAGGGATACTACCTGTTTTGAGCTGGATGTTTTATGTGGAAGCAACATAGTTTGTGAAGTGGTTCCCCCTTTTCCCCCAGCCCCAGTTTTGGTTATTTCTGAAGTGCTTTGCATTCCGATACTCTTCTTATAACTTTTGGGGTCTCACTACTTGAGTAAGCCACTACTGTATATTCTTCTTGGTGGAGAAATTACACTTGATATCTTTTGGGCAGATCAATTTATTGAAAATCAATGTTGAAGACTTGGAGAAGGAGAGAGACTTCTACTTTGGCAAACTGAGAAACATTGAATTGATCTGCCAGGAGAATGAAGGAGAGAATGACCCAGTGTTGCAGCGGATTGTGGAAATTCTTTATGCCACAGATGTAAGTAATCTAGTACAAACTGGTTACTCTCTTTCCATAAGTGGAAGTTGGGCATTTTTCTGGTGCTCCTTCTGTTTCTGCATTTTTTTCTTTAAATGCATGGCCTAGCTTTTTTCTGTAGTAAAGGAACATAAGATAACAAATTTATTCAGGCAGCAAACAAGCTTAGACTTACATGAAGAGTATGTGACAAATGGATCAAAGATGAGGAAATAATTTGTCTGGTAGTATGTACTAAGACTGTAAATGGTAACTTGATGGCGTTTCCCTCCCACCACCCTAAGTGGAAAACAAAAGGAGGGGTGCATACACTTCAGAAGTAGCCAGGAACTGGTTTGAGGTGAGCTTTTCATTAAAGCCTGTGTTTTATCCCCTCTTCAGGAAGGCTTTGTGATACCTGACGAAGGAGCACCGCAAGAGGAGCAAGAAGAGTATTAACAGACCACATACTGTACCAGCAGAGCAGCAACATCAGAATTCTTTGCCCCAGATCATGTGCTTAACTGTAAAATACTCCACTTTATTCTTAGAGGACTCACTGGTTTCTTTTCATAAGCAAAAAAGTACCTCTTCTTAAAGTGCACTTTGCAGAAATTTCACTCTTTACAGTGGGTGTGAGTTAGGAGCTCTTTCTCACTTTGTAGCAGAGCAGTATTCCCATAGTTGGTATATTTAGGGAGCAAGAGGCTGAATATTCGGAATTTGTTGCAGAATGGTTTGCTGGTAAAACACTGGTTTGTGGAAAGACTCTTTTTTTTGCATCTAAGATGGTGTGTAGTAGAGAAATTAAAGGCTCTGACTCACAGAAGATTGAGTTAATGTGAAATTGCAGCAGAGAAATTATAATTAAATGCCTTAAGAGTATTTAAAATATGCTTCCGTATGCCAAATTGAAGTAATGTGACAGGAGATTTTATGTGCTTCATCCTGGGGTAGACACTTGTTTGACTCCATACACTGCTGTTTGAGAGGCCTTGCATGGCAGTCTTACTATGTCAGCAAGTGCTCAAAAGGGGCTGATAAATCAAAACTCCATTCCTATGTAAAGCTGCTTACTAAGTGATTAGTTCTCGATGAAATAGGCCTTACTGTTGCCTGTCACAAGATTAGAGGGAGTATGAACAGCTGAGACACATAAATTACCTTGAAGAGCGCTAAAGCCTTTTTTTGCGGCATTGTGGCTAATGACTTTGCCAAAATGTACTGTGTTTTCTGTAAAAGAAAAAAGAAGAAAAACCCAATGAAACAGCTAGTCTTACTGCCCCAAAATATTTTTTCTTCCTGGCTCTTGTTTCCAGTTATCCTATTCCTGTTTATTTTGGTTGGTAAAACCTGCTGGTCTCTCACTGATTCTTTTCTCTTCCCCATTCCGAGGAGTGCTGGTCAAATCACATGGTTGTAATGGGATTTGCACTGGGCACCTATCTTAGAATGAAAGCGAATTGAGCACATGAGGATGAAGTTTGCTTTTATTATTATTTTTTAAACCAGGGTTTATCTAATAATACATGCCAGTTCAGTAATCTTCTGGGGTCAAAACTAAAAATGTGCTGGCTAACAGAGCTAATGTTATTGCAGAAAATACAGTACTGAGACTAACTTAAATATTAATATTTAAAGTACTTTCTTTAACTGTCTCTCTTTTTTTTTTTTCTCCTTGCTATCATGCCCCTCATTACTTTTGTGTTTGGCAAGATCCTGCAAGACTCCTGACCCCCTTCACTACTGAGATTGATCGGTCCTGTTGTGCTTGTATTCATTTGTTTCTGGTGGTAGCTTGTCCTGAAATGTGTGTAGGAGAGCATTTTATGGTAATTGTTGTGTAGTGCATGAATCTTTGTGAAATTCAGAGAAAAACCCAAATTCAGTGAATGCCAAAAAAATGCAAGTATTTAGCCATTGTTTAAAATTGCAGTGGTGCTATTTCTCTTGTGGCCTTTTAGACTTTTGTTGCCCTGAAATTCCATTTTACTGAGGAAACCATATTTGACTTGGATTTTTCTTGACAGGGTTTTTCTATTTTAAACAGTTTCTAAATAAAGTTCTGTATTTCAAGAGTGTCACGTCTGCTGGAGTCTCTTGTGCTTTCAGTTATGATCAGGCCAACGCCAAGAGGTTCGTTCTGAAGCTCATAGGACCTGGAATATGGGCTTTCCTTCTCCAGTCCTAGTTAGGTGCATTGCTAACGTTGAGACTTTCCTTGACTTAGGCTGGGGACAAACTCCCTTGCTCTTCTTTCCCAAGCAGATGAAATGTGACTGTGGTGTTGGCTGTTTCCTTGTAAAAGTGTAAGAATGGGGTTGGATAACAGGAAAACTGTCGCATGGCTTTAGGTGGTCAAACGGCTAAAACGGTGGTTATCAACAGACGTTAGTTGTGGCATCTGTCACCAGCCTGCCTGAGCAAACTGACTTTACGTTGGTTGCTTTGTCGCAGTTGGAGYCTGTTTTGTGGAGGAGCTCGGACGTTGTTTTCACAGGTGTGTACAGTGAGCAGCTTCTGAGAGTGCTTGTGTGATGTGTCCAGCCCGGAGGCTGGAGCGCTCCCCGACGGGCTTAGCTCTGGTGCTGCAGAGCCCTGGGTCTTCTACAGAGTAGGCATTGCTGGCAGTGCCTGCTGCTCCTGCAGCGCTGGACTGCAGGAGCACGTCAGAGAACGGCGGTTTGATGCACATAAAATCTTCTTTCTCATTACTTGTTTCCCTGAGATCAAAAGCATACTATTTTCAACTCCCTTCTTTCACCAGCTGAAAGCAAAAGATGGCAACAGTGTGTGACTTGAGGTGACCTGTTGGGTGTTTTGGTGTTCTCAGTGGGTCAGTTGCTCATTGGAACRTGGTTGCTGCAAATCCTGCACCCTCAAGCTTGCGTGCGTGGAACTGTGAAGTACCCAAATCATGAGATGGGTCCATTTTTGTTCTCTGCTCCTAGAAGCAAGCAAACATGTGGCAATGCTAAGAGAAGGATGAGTCAGAAATAGTGCTGGTGCCCTTGACCACGTGAGACTGTTGACCGCGTGCACCCTTTGGATGTGCATTGTRGAACTAAACGGAGGCTGCAGTCTTGCAAGTCAAATGCTGCTGAGGTCTCCAGTTGCTTGCCTGCCTTCTGTACCACCAGCACGAGCCGTAAACAGAACGGACAAACTCATATGGTCACCCTGCCTGTCTGCATTATAGGTCCCTTGGCATAATCTTTTCTAATGTCCTTTTTGGAAAACAAGCAAGCACAGCGAGCCCCACTGAAACCCACAAAGTTACGTAGCTACTCTGGCACACTGGTACAGTATATGYGGCTAAATGCCGAACGCTCACCTGCTGGAGCAACTCAAATAGCATCCAGCCCTCCTTAGGCTCTTAGTTTTGTCAGATTTTTGAAAAATGAACAGAATGGAAGAACCAACAGCTCACCTTTCCTTTCTGTACCGACATGTCTGTCTTACAGGTGGGCTTGTGGATGTTTTTTAACTTTTATTATTCCGTCTTTTTAAAAATTCCTGGTTTGCAATGACAATTCTTGCTGTAATTAAAAGCCTTCAAATAAAGGCCAATAACTTGCTCCCTGTTGTATCATATCACTGTTAATACGACTGCTTAAGCACTTGGTGGTTTTGTAGACAAATGTTTGCCCCCAACAGTGTGTCCTTGAGGGGTGTGTGGGTTTGGGGGGTTGTTTTGTTTTTGCTTTTCCGTTTAGAAACACTAGAAGTTTTCTTGATTTGAGTCTGGGATCTGCTTCTCACAAAGGAATGAGTTTTAGCAAGTTGGTGTGAGAACCTAATGAGGTTTCCAGGTTGTGACACACAGACTATTCTCAGTTTGCCTAGTAGTGCAGGAGATGCAGGGAATGGTAGGATGGACCTAGCAGGGCTATGGAATAACTTGCATGCCTAGAGCTTGGATTCAGGGGAAATAGGTCGCTTCACGTGCGAGCCCTGGGTCAAGCATCTCCATTTCAGAGCAGGGAATGGGAAACTGTGGAAGGACGGGAGGAGGTGGGGAAGGAGCGGGTGCTCTGGCAATGCTGCAGTGCTAGCAGGTGAGCGAATCGCTGGGGGTTGGATGAGGTCTCGTGCACAACTGCAAAAATCTACCAAACTGCAGGAGTTTATTATTGCAGGGGATGCAAACTACCCAGGTGTGTGAGAAGAGCAGCAGGGCACCTGTGCATCGTTAGCAGGAGAGCTGAAGACGTGCTGAGCTCCTGATGCAGAAAGCGAAGAAAGCAGCAAGACAGAGATGCTGCAGATCCAGGTCTGGGCACCTGGAATRTGCAACAAGCAGCTTGGCTGAGTGTGGAATACTGAAGATTCTTCAGAGGGAGGAACAAAAATTCAAACCAGGCTTTTGCAGAAGGAAAGCCTCAATAAAATTGGCTGGTAAGTRTGGTTTGGGGTGAGTTTGAAATTTTGGCTGTCAGGTCCTTGCAGAAATTGATATTAAGCCTATTAAATATCCAAATATGAAGGAAGGAGGTGTTAAACAAATGCGACTAAAGAACATAGAATGTATATAGAAAATAAGTAATTAGAGTGCAATAACAAAGGAACAGGATAAATGCATGGGGACAAAATCAGATRTGGTTAAAAAAAAGTTTGATGTGATTTGTTCTCACTTGTTGGGAGAACACTTACAAGGAAGGAAGCAAAAGTGCAATATTGTGTGCTTAAAGAGGAAAAATCATTGCACGAGTCCAGCATGGGGAGTTTGTGACTATATAGCAGTCCTGCAGAAAAGCTAGAGTTTTAATACAGGCCATGTGCATTTAAGAAGATGGAGAAAAATATATAGGTTTTTTTTTTTTGGATAATACCTGTTGAACCGAAGGTTCAGATTATCTAGAAAAGAGTGTTGTTGCTGAAGCTGTGTGTTCTTACACTCTCATTAAGATAGAAATCTGTTATTTGCCCAGGAAGTGTACAAGTTTTTTTTTTTTTTTCCCCCTGTGTATTTTCTTAATAGAAGAGGAACAAATTAAATGTGGTGCTTGGAATTTCTTAAGACCAAAATGAAAGTCTAGAGAGAGCCGTTCCAGCTTTATATTGTAAGGCAGGAATAAGKGACAATTTTTTTCCTTCCTCTTTCTTTTTATCCTCCTCGGAGGGCATCTTTCAAAGCTACTTTTAAAACTAGCTTTTCTCTTACACAGCAAGACTGGCGAGCTTTTCAATAGTGGCCATGCAAATATACACATATATACATATGCATATACACACATGCATATATATATATATATAAATGAAACTTGTGCGTGACCTCTTGAACTGCAGAAAACAGGAACTGCTGCAGTTTCTCTTCTCAAGACTGGATGTTTTGCAGGCTTCTTCCTCTGGAGAGTAATTGCACAAAATGGTTGATCTGCCAGTGTTCTGGTAGTGCTCTGGCTCTGCCCTTGTCCCCAGGGAACGCGTGAGGATGAATGGACGYTTGGGAGGCTTTCAATCTCATGAGACTGCCCGTCTATAAATCTCCTTTCTCCAAGCTCTGCAGCTGGATATTTATGAAGTGATGAACAAATAAGGTTCAAATGGGGTGGGGGAAGGAGCAACGGAGATGGGTGCACTTCCCCAAACTGAATTCAAAGCTGTATTTCCTCTTGGCATTTCTGAGGGGTTTGAGGAAAGAGGAGGAAGAAAATGGCCCGAGCTGAGTGCCTGAGGAGGAGGTGAGTGAGCAGAGGGAGCGGAGCTGGGAGGCGCCCGGGCTCCGGAGTGCACGGATGTGTTCCCAGAGGAGCTAGTGATCGTTGCGTGGGAAAGAGCCGCTGCAGAGCAACTGAAGAGGGACTCCTTTATCTACCGGGGTTGATAAAAACCCAGAAACTGGTCAAGAGAATGACACGGGCTTCAGGGGAAATGCCTCCTTCCTCTGCTGTTCAGACCTGGTGCCGGCCTGCTCGGGACTGCGTGTCGGGCGCCCCAYGGACGTGCGGGGCAGCGGGAGCGAGGGGAGGAACCCGTGTTGCTGCAGCGGGAGCAGCCCCACGGGAGCCCCCCGACAGCAGCTCTCAGTGCTGCGAGAGGGACCCGTGGCTGCTGCAGAGCCAGCTCCTTTTCCGGAGGTGGCTCTAGAAGTCCCAGTTGTAGAGGATCCTTACTTGGGCACGTGGCAAAGTTCAGTTTCAGCTTTCAGTTTCCCCCTATATAATAGAGGAACGAAAGGTGATTTTTCAGCCCCGCCTCAGCGCTCAGGTTTGCTAAAGGCAGGCCCAGGGCGCTCGGGCCTGCCATGACTACCCTGATAGCGTTATCTGTGCTGGCTAATCTTAAACTAGCCTGGCCGGGAGCCCTGGTCGTGGCACCGCCGCCGCGAGCCTGTTCTGGGGTTATCTGTCTGAGCTTCCAGGGCTCGCTTGCTCTGCCCGTCTTGCACAGCAGCATGGCAGGCGCCGTGCAGAGGAAGGCAGAGCAGGGGCTGCCGTTTCTCCCCTCTGTTGAAACCATTTTGGACGGGCTCCATGAGACAGCAGCACGTTGCTGCTGCGCACACACTGCTCCTTACTGCTCCCAGCCCGGGCGGGTTATCGTGGCATTGCCACCTCTGCTTTACCGATGGCCACGGCTGGCCCAGGGAGGCTGCGATTCATCCTACATCACACAGGAATTTACCCCTGCATATAGGCATAAATCTCAACTTTGCAGCTTGCCCATCGTACGTGTTTTTGATCTATACCCCAGTGTCTACCTGCTGTGACGCTCGGGCTTTTTCCCTGTGTCTTTGTGCTTCTATATATCCTTTGCCATAGGCTGATCGGAGCCGGATCGCCAGACGTGCCCAGGAAGATGCATTTGCTGTAACTGCGCGGCTTTTGGATGTGATATAGGATCTGTCTTTGAATTTTGATTCATAGAGACTGGTAGCAGTATCATTTCTGAGATTTATATATACAGTTACTTTAAAATGCATGTTAGGAGGAGTGTTAGATTCACYGAGAATGTTTAACACAGACTACACAGCAAAGTGGCTGGGACATCACTCAAAATATTTGCTGAAAAAGGAGCTTCCCTCTGCCTTTTAATTTMTGATATGGTCTTTATGAAAAACCTAACTTAATTTCTTCCCTCAAACTTCCAATATTAAAGGCAGTAACATTCCTGATAGAGATTTCTAATACTAAGGCAAGGCAGYAGCTTCAACCTGCTATTCCATTTTGGTAAATAGAATAATAAATATAATASTAAGGAAATAGTTTCCCTTTTCTATTGTTGTTGCTTTATAAAAGCAAAACAACRTAGGCAGGTGGTAGCCGTTCAGGAGACACTTTTAAAACTTTAAGTTAAGTAGCAGCTTGCTCTGCATGCAAAATCATCGCGGATGCCATGCGAGCTGGGCGGTGGCGTGGGTGAATGGCTGTTCCCAAACCACTCCGTAGCGCATCCCTGGTGCCTAAGGGGAACACGGCACGTGCGGAGCGTGACCTTCCAGTGACTGCACGAGCCTCCGGAATCCACCCCGGCGGCTCCTGGGGACACCGCTGGTGCAGGGTGTGATGATATGCCTCCTCCCTGGCCTTTCTTGCTAATGAATTACGTGGTTGGGTAGGGCTCTCGGTGGCTAGGGCTCGTTTCACAGGTTCGGGTATGAATAAGTTCTGCACGTCAAAGAAGTGGGGACAACTAGCAGGGAGGACGCTGGGGACACGTTCACAAAGACTGACGCTGAGTGTTGTGGCTTTGCAGCCTGGCAGTGGTACTGTCCTCTCTGAGGAAAGCTGAGGGCTAAGGATTAGCAGTTGCAAAAACAGTTTCCTGATTTGTTTAAAAAAACCCCACAAAAATCAAACAGCATTTGCTACTGACTGTAGGGAAGTGTTTATTTTCTTAGCTAGCTCTCATMATTCTCGCTCTGTCAACACCGGAGAACCTGAGATAATTAATTCTGCTCTCCCTTTGATACTGCGCTAATGAAATCACGGTCTGCCTTGCAGGAAGAATAGCTGGCCTGTGTGCTGCAGGAATTCCGGAGCAAGGGAACATGCAGAACAGCAAATCACACCTGCGCTTCAGGATGCCCAGGAAAGTAATCGCAGGGTAAGAGATCTTTGAGGAGCRATCGTGCCCTGAAAGGTACTTGTGTTTGCCTTCCACTCAAATGGTTCTCCTGTGACGCAATGAAAAATGCCTGCTACTTAAGCGTGTGTTTTACATCAAACAGAGAACACGAGCATCTTCCAAATGAAATTGGCTTAATAAACTGGTGTCTAATTTAAGAACAATGTCTATTATAAGGTAATAGATTGGTGATAAATGACTGCTTGTAATAGGTTTCCTTTTGTGTTTAGACGGTCTGCTTTTGCTATTGTATGTAAAACCATCAATTTAGGAGATTGCCTGTTATAGCAACAAACCAGGGCATAAGATATGATGGCTATTCTCCTTCATG